TTGTTATTTTCTCGCCTGGTCCATTATACTCCTGCTATGAGTGAAACCATCCGGTATTTTTCTTTCACTTTCTGGCTTATCTAAATGAGTTAATTTTTATTAACTCATTGAAGCTAAAATAAAACCCTAGTCATCAAGACTATTCCCAGATTCCTATTTTTGAAAACATCTTCCTTTGAATCTCAATTAGATCTTCACTTTCCTCCTTACTCTATCACAAATGATGCAGGTAAAATTTATATAGTAAATATTTCCATGCCATAGAGGCAACATGGATGCTTTAAGAAGAATTATCTTGTCAGATTATTTTGCTTCTAACAGATTGGCCCCAGAAAGCAGGTTTCACCTTTAGCAATTTGAGGGGCAAGAAATACTTCATTTTCCCGGTGAAGATAGCATGGCATTATTTATCATTTCTGCAATAGCATAATTACTCACTCCGCATGGCAGCTGTGGTTTATAGAACCATGCTACATCTTGGGTTTGTTTATTAGTTGCACTTTCCACAGCTTTCCATCACTGGGCTTTATCCCTTAAGCCACTGTGCTCCTGGGGTAATCAGTGGTTGGGCAAAATCATGCAAAGAACTTATTTCTTATCATGTACTAAAGGGCATTAATACTTCTAATGTATGCTGTTGTCTGCTACAACCATATTTACTGCAACTGATAAAATACAACGTTTCTCCATACATGTGCAATAAAACCTCCATAAACAGGCCACGAGGACACATATTTATTAGTTTTGAATAATATAAGAGGATCCCTTGTTTTTTGTCTCAACAAATTACCTTAATGAACAATCGCAGAATGGTAATTAGAATTCTTTCAAATGATGTATTGTAATTTGACTTTAAAATGCATTTTGAAACTCAAATGAAGAAGAGATTGGTTTTCTCCAGTTGCCTCCTTTTTTATCAGTAGAACCTCTACCCCACCCTGTCTCCTGCCCACAGTGTTTTGGCTTCCTGAAAGGGCAGCGCAAAATGAATGCCAGTTTGTGGCATAAATTGTTTCTAGACAGTAGCTGGCTCATTTTGACACCCTCTGCATGGCACTGGTGAGGTAGAATGAAGTTCCTAGACTGGAGGTGTTGAATTCCTCCTACATTTGATCTATTTTGAGCCGTAAGCAGTCTCCTCTCAGCCCCAATCTGACATCCCTCCTACCTACCCACCCAACCAGCTCTAAAAAGGAAAGAAAGAAGGGGTCGCCGCTAAGTTTCCTTCACCATCTAACAGTAACTAGAAGGTACTGTAGGTCTTAAGAATCATTTCTATTTTTCTGTAAAACTTCATTTTCTAGCATTCAAATTTCCTTTCACAGGAGCTAGAGCCATGACCCAGCTTCCTAGAGCGGGTCACGGGGTTGAGGGTTTGGAATCTAAGGTATTGCCTCTTCCAGGAACATGTCTGACTCTCAGTATCTCAGGGAGTTGAGACACGGAGAGGCAGCAAAGTCTCGATCTGATCAGCTTCCTCTTTGGGTAGAGGTTCCCCAGCCCCACTGTGGTGACTACTGCTAACTGAAGTAACAGTTGTTGGTCCCCCCTTGTCACTATAGACCAAGTGGAGAGGAAATCAGACCTCTCAACTGTCATGTTGAAGTACAGTTAGGTGCCATAAAATGATATTTAGGTCAGTGACGAGTCCCAAATCTGACATGGTCTCTGCATATAGTGTGGTTTGTGGTAGTCTAGGCATCTCAGCGGTATAAGGATTTGCTCACATGGTGTTGAACACCCCAACAGCACATTCCTCAGGGTGCATCTCAGTTGTTGAAGCACGACTGCTTCAACTCTTAACACTTCTCCGAGTCCTGCCATCTTGCCAACAGTCATTTTCTTATAGCCATCTGATTTTCATCTCCTTATTATAATCAAGATAATTGGGGATAGGAGATGATCATTGAATTAGTAAGTGATGAGGGTAGTTGTCTCCTTCCTTTCAGTCAGCTCTACCAAATTCTCTTGTTACACTATTCTTGGAACTACTCCTGGGACCACAGGCTGCCTCCTTGTTCACACATACACACAAGCTATAATTTAGTAACCTAAGGGACAGGCTTCTGCTTGAACAATGGTCTTAGAGTAGTTTGTTCAGAACAGTGAACAACAGTCAAAGAACAAGATACCAGGATTCTCCTGAGTAATTCACTGAATTATTTAGGGGTGTTTTAGTGGGGCTCCCTCACTTAGTCTTACAAATGGTAACAACCATCCATCCCTGTTAAACAAAGACACTCTCTGGTAGGAAGGGATGCCACATTCCCAGTTAGGCAGCTCAGTTCTCTCTTTGGTGCAAGAGTGGCGTGTGAGAGTCCTTAACAAACAGGGAGATTTGGCCTCTCTTCAGTGAAACACAATTAGTAGGTATCAGTTCCCAACTGCTGGCGACACCCCCCGCCCCCCAGCTCTGTACATATGATGGGAAATGTATCGCATTTGTTCCCACCTCTCACCCTAGCCTAATTTGAATACCTAATTTCTACCTGGTACATATTTAAAAAGCAGCAGTTTAACCTGTGCTTTGAGCATTAAGTCTAAGAAAGCAAAAAAGTTCTCCTAAGGTAGGAAAGATTATTGTAGAAACATTGTTGAATATACACAGTAGAATGTGCAAAGATATGAAGTGCACAAAGACACTACAAGTAATAAAGAGTGGAATGTATTTAGGAATCAAATGTGAATCAAGCAACTAAAGATGTATCGGAAATGACTTCTTTCCCAACAGCAGGCTATTTCTGAGCTAACATACAAATCCCACCTGTGATGGAAGTTTAGAGAAATGTGGAATTAGGAAACCCACAATCTAAGTACAGCAAAATCAATAGGAAGACATTCATGGTAAATATTAACAATATTATATAGAAGTCAGTGATTTTTGTTTTTGTTTTTGTCATCCAGTTGAGCCTACTTATCCTACTTAGCCTACTACTTTAAGAGAAACAAGAAAGGTGACACTTGGGAACAAGAGTGAGAGATGTGACTATTCCAATGGCGTAGCGCCAGGAGTTACTTAATTATAATGTATTGGAAGGGCTGGGCTTGTATACTTCAGGTGAATAACTGAATGTGTATAACTATTATTGAATTGACTGACTCACAAATTAAAAAAAAATACTATCACAACCAACACTTGTTAAGAAGATATGTGCAAGGTACCCTTAGTCATCTTGTCTAGATTAACTTATTAGATCTGAAAGCACTTTAACAGATGTAGGATGATCCCACAGCAGAAATAATTGACAAATAGTAAAAAGACACATGAAGCCAGTATTTTTCCTACTGTCTTTCTGATAGAAATCTAAGTCTACAGTAGTAAAACAAAGATTTATGTTAAGCATTTTTGATATATGATGCTATTTCGCTATTTGAGTCTTCAGTGTAATGAAATGAACTATTGGACAAACTCTCTTACTCTCTTCTTCATTGGTCAAATTTATTAATGCAATTTTAAAATCAGAAAATATTTCTGACTATAGTAAGTGAAAACATAGGCCCTCTGGTGGCTTAGCAGGTTAGGGCACAGCACTGCAAGCTGTCTGCAGCCACTTGAGTGAGTTTGATCCCCAGCCCCAGAGGTGACCCACATGACACAGCTCACCTCTCCTGTCTCACCTGCTGCTCCCCTCAATAGTGTGCTTCATCAATCTGCCTATTCTGCTCCCCACTCTGTCTCTGGTGAATCCTCTGACAGCCCCTACACCTCTAGCCTATACCTCAGTTCTGTATGCATAACTCTATCCTTTAAAAAAAAGAAAAACATGTATTTTGTAAGGAAAGCAGAGACACTAGAAATCACAAAAATGTGATTCTATTACTGGAGACAATTTGAAGAAAACCGCCAGGGCACATAAAATTGGTTTCTGTTATCTTAACCTGTCTAGGTCAACTGGTCAGGATGACTGATCAATGTACTCATCTTGATATGAAAAGATAGAGCTTACATTGTCTCCTTCTAAGTCCCCTCATTTCTCTCTTAATGACAGAGTTCTAGTAGGCAGTGCTAAAGATGTGGGAGAGGCTCTATCACTTTTCTGGAATGTGCTGGCCAAAGTGAGCATAACTGAGCTTGGGTAGTCCATGCTGGCTGTGCAGACATAGGCGGACTCCATGGGAAGTCTTCAAGGCAGTGAGGAAGCTG